AGTGAACTCTAGCCTCACGGGCTAGAGTTCACTCACCCACGAGGACCACCAGGGAACACCGCGTGCCGGACCCCCCTCCCAGTCCCAGCGTGCCGGTCCCCCCCCTCCCATGCTAAAGGTAAGAAGGGAGGGGGGGAAATAATGACTTTTTTTTATTTTATTTTATTTACCCCCCCCTACACACACACACAATAACATTTATACAGCACTCTCACACCCATCACACACAGCACTCTCTCCACACAGCACTCTCACACCCATCACACACAGCACTCTCACCCTCACACACAGCACTCTCACACCCATCACACACAGCACTCTCACACACAGCACTCTCACCCATCACTCTCACACACATTACACACAGCACTCTCTCACACAGCACTCTCACACCCATCACACACAGCACTCTCTCACACAGCACTCTCACACCCATCACACCATCACACACAGCACTCTCACACCCATCACTCACACCCAGCACTCTCTTACCCATCACACACAGCACTCTCACACCCAGCACTCTCCACCATCACACACAGCACTCTCACAGAGCACTCTCACACACAGAACTCTCACACCCATCACACACAGCACTTTCACACACACACAGCACTCTCTCACAGCACTCTCACAGAGCACTCTCACACCCATCACTCACACACGGCACTCTCACACCCATCACTCACACACGGCACTCTCACACACATCCACTCACACACACACATACACCGCACCCTCACACACACACATACTGCACCCCTCACATACACACAGAACCCCCCCAACACACTGCACCACACACATACACAATACTTCCAAATATATATATATATATATATATATATATATACACACACACTACACTCTTAAAGGACCACTCTAGCCACCCAGACCACTTCAGCTTAATGAAGTGGTCTTGGTGCCAGGTCCTTCTAGGGTTAACCCATTGTTTTATAAACATAGCAGTTTCAGAGAAACTGCTATGTTTATCAATGGGTTAAGCCTTCCCCCAAAGCCTCTAGCAGCTGTCTCATTGACAGCCGCTAGAGGCGCTTGCGTGCTTTTCACTGTGAAAATCACAGTGAGAGCACGCAAGCGTCCATAGGAAAGCATTATAAATGCTTTCCTATGCGACCGGCTGAATGCGCGCGCAGCTCTTGCCGCGCGTGCGCATTCAGCCGACGGGGCGGATCGGAGGAGGAGAGCTCCCCGCCCGGCGCTGGAAAAAGGTAAGTTTTAACCCCTTTCCAGAGCCGGGCGGGAGGGGGTCCCTGAGCCACATATGCATCACATTACACCACAAACACAACACGACTAAAACCGACCTTATTACACAATACCACACCACGACCAGCTCACTCTACACACACGCAATACCACAAGCAGGCTCCAAACACATGCACAATACTCTTTCCTGGCCTTTTGTCTCCTGGTATCCATTTATAGAGACACCAGAGACAAGTTGCAAGGAAACACAGTGCAAGCATGTTATTAAATTTGCTTGCACTGTGCAGAACAAATACAGGACTTTTTTCTCATGCTAGAGCTCTTCAGCAGAGCTCTGCGCATGGTCTGCCCTGGAAGAGCATTGAACCAACATGCTCACTTTGAGAGGAGGCGTGTTTGTCATTGGTGATGACAAAACACACCTCCTCTGCCCCGCCCCCTTTTTAGTGGGCCGCTGTGTTAAAAAAATGCCCGGGCCGAATTTTTCTCCCAGTCCGGCCCTGGTGGCCACCCACAATGATTGGGTTCCTCCCAACCATAATCACATTTATGATAAAGGTTAGCAAGGAAACCAGTACACAAAAAGTATTTATGCATGGACAGATTGTATGTATATCTAGCTGGAATAAAGTATATATGCATTGACAGAAGATTCCAGAATGAGAGAGTCTGACCGATTCCAGAATATACATATTTAGATAAGTGAGTAAATAATAGCCAAAATACATAGAAAAAAAGGGAGAATTTACTCTTGACAACTCCTGCTATCCATAAAACATTGCTACTATAGAAGAATAGTGTATCATTAAAATCAACTAATCCACCTATATTTAGTCAATAACCACAGCCCACTTCCGGAACAGATCCCCTGCCGATTAAGCAATCACTCCCTGACGCTTACCTTATCATTGACGTGGAACACACGGATGCTCTGGCAAAGCTCAGAAAACATCTCTCATTCAATGAAGATGCTAGCAGTATGTGGAACTCACGATGCGTTCCAGCTCCGAAAATACCAAAGATGCAGCGACCCCCATGCTGCGCATGCGCAAGTGGCACCTGAAACGCATCATGCATTCCACCCTTGTGCTTTTTTAACATTTTGTGTTTTTCAAATTATATTATGTATTCTGCATCCTGTTTGTATTTTATTTTGCTGTATTAGCTCCGCTTTCATGTGGCATGACAGCCTTCAGTAGCTATTTGATGCCCTACAGTGCTTGTTAATATTTCTCTTGAGGGTGGAACACATGATGCATTCCAGGTGCCACTTGCGCACGCACGCCATCTTTGGGATTTTTGGAGTTGGAACGCATTGTGCGTTCCACATACTGCTAGCATCCTCATTGAATGAGGGCTGTTTTCTGAGCGCTGTCAGTACATGCGTGTTATTTCAGACACATCATCTTTGTCCAATCGAGACGTGGAACGCACATTGCTTCCACAGGTAAGTTTTACCTGTAAATGGTAAGGTAAGCGCCTGGGGGTTATTGCTTAATCAGCAAGGGCTCTATTCTGGGAACAGGCTGTGGTTATTGACTTAATATATGTGGTTTAGTTGATTTTTGTGATACACTATCGTTCTTTTGTAGTGGCAATGTTTTATGGATAGCAGAAGCTGTCAAGAGTTAATTCTCCCTTTTTTTCTATGTATTTTGGCTATTATATACTCACTTATCTAAAAATGCGTATCCTGGAATCTGTCAGACTCTCTCTCATTCTGGAATCTTCTCTGTCAATGCATATATACTTTATTCCAGCTAGATATAATACAATCTGTCCATGCATACATACTTTCTGTATACTGGTTTCCTTGGTAACCAAAATCATATGATTATGGTTGGGAGAATGCCAATCATTATAGGTGGCCACCCATTACACTTAAGTGTTTATTTTTATTTTGAGTGTATAAGGGTGTTTTCTAGCCTTTTGGAATATACTCCCTTGATAAAGGCAATTTTGCCGAAACATTGGGGGCTCTTTGGTTGATTTTTTACCTCTTCTGTTTCTGGTATTGGTTTGTTTAATGGTATGTATTACTTGCTGGGTTGTTTTGTTCAGGTATCCTTATGACTTTGTAATAGTAATAGTACTATTATATATTTTTTTAGCCATCATTCGTGCCTGGATCATTGATTCATTTCATTTAACAGAGTTTGTAACGTCAAATCTTTTTGAATAGAAGAAAAATAGAAATACTGAATATCATGTTTATAGAGTTTTGTTAAATTTATTGCTGCATAAAATAACTGCGGGTAGCTGTTGTGGGGGGACTTCAGCAGCCACAATCCAATTATTATTTCAAAATACTAGACATGAAAAAGTTGCATGCTTTAGGCAAAACATGTGAATGTTTTCTGCTAGTACATTCATATAAAATGGAATCCAAATACAAATGAAGTATATATAGTATTAGACGACCTGTGGCTTTAGATAATATTTGTGAGCTGTATGTGAACAAAAACTTATAGCAGTCCATATAGCAGAGATGCAAATGATGTTTATATGTATATTTCTTGTACTATGATTGTGATATTTATGCTATGATTTTCTGATATGCATTTTGGGATACATGTTACTATGGACCCAATTAACAAAGTGTTTTTTTTATCTTTTATGGCTGTGCTCCTCATTCACTAGTATTTGCATCTTGGTTCAGGGACCTGGTCAGGTGTCTCGGAACTTTAACAATGAGAATGGGCTCCTTGGTCTGTGTAAACCCATCATGCTGAGAGGAAGTGAGTGCAAGTCACTTCCTTCCAGCTTACCAATAAGCCACATGGGATTTGAGAACCAGGGAGAGCCTGACCAGTCTCAGCCAGGGATGCCAGGGATACCTTCTTGCACCAAAACGGTATGGAAGCAGGGGGGTAACGAAAATATGTAATATGATCTTTGTGTGTATGTGTATGCTATCTGTATATGCGTCATCGTGTGTGTGTGTGTGTGTGTCATATCACTACTGCGAGGGAGGGCTATAAAATGTATTTGATCTTAAGTCCATGTTTTTTTTCACTTGCCAACTCCTCTACTGCTGCGTTTATTATTATTTTATAGTCACAGTCTGATCTGCAGAATGAAAGACCCAGACATTCTTTTCTGGCTCTGAAACTCACTAATATCTCTTCTCATTGTTACTGTGTCCTGGTTACAAACATACAAATTCAACTTTCACAATTCTAAGAGATAGTCATATTTTTAACATCATTTGCATCTCTGCTATATGGACTGCTATAAGTTTTTGTTCACATACAGCTCACAAATATTATCTAAAGCCACAGGTCGTCTAATACTATATATACTTCATTTGTATTTGGATTCCATTTTATATGAATGTACTAGCAGAAAACATTCACATGTTTTGCCTAAAGCATGCAACTTTTTCATGTCTAGTATTTTGAAATAATAATTGGATTGTGGCTGCTGAAGTCCCCCCACAACAGCTACCCGCAGTTATTTTATGCAGCAATAAATTTAACAAAACTCTATAAACATGATATTCAGTATTTCTATTTTTCTTCTATTCAAAAAGATTTGACGTTACAAACTCTGTTAAATGAAATGAATCAATGATTCATCAAAAAAATATCAACTGCTGAGCACCCACAATCACTCATGCAGTTCCAAAGAAATAATAACCACAATGCTAACGATTTTAAATGCATGAGATAGACAGAATGTGTAAGGGATCAATTCTATACCATTAGTATTACTCTGGGATCCAGCTACCATAAAGTTACGCAAAGATATATATATATATATATATATATATATATAAAGATAGAGAGAGAGAGAGAGAGATCTATATGGAGAGAAATCTATATCTAAATCTATAGAGATCTCTCTCTATATATCTATCTATCTATCTATCTATAGAGATCTCTCTCTCTCTCTCTCTCTCTCTCTCTCTCTCTATATATATATATATATATATATATATATATATATATATCTTTGCGTAACTTTATGGTAGCTGGATCCCAGAGTAATATATATATTTTGCAATGTTAAACAAAAATCTGCACACCAGCCAAGCCACAAGACTTGCTTTCCCCACAGAAATCAGAAAAGCAAGTCTTATCACTTGACTGGTGTGCAGATTTTTGTTTAACATTGTATTAACTATCCACAGACTTCAGGTGTAAGGGGTTTTCAATCACAATTAACATTTTTGGCCTATATATCCCCTGACTTACCTATATACCTAGCTGACGGTGCTTAGTTACTTCTGGTTCTGGGTTCATTACAGGACTACTGATCCAGGACAGCCAGGATACTCATTTGCCACACCAGCAGGCCTTCCAGCCAAGGAAACATCCTTCCGTCGTGACCGATCCTCGAGTAACCGCGGTTACACTGATGCTTCCAACGTAACTACTGCTTCCAGGGCATTGGACCATACTTCTGCGTAATTGTGAGTAACACATGTACAAGATCGACGTACAAATGACTAAAACTCACTAACAGACAGTACACACATAAGGTGGTAAGGCTAAGCGCACGGACAGACCAAATAGATGAACGACACGAAATGCACAAACGGCACTAAACAGACGAACGGCACTCATAAACGGTACGAACATATGAATGATGGCTAATACATGAACGGGAGCTAAGCAAAATGCTAGGCACGCATGAACCGGGATAATTCGCACGTACCATCATACCGGTAAATGCACAAACTACAAGCTTCTATTCACACGAACTTAATCCATGTTCTTTCATGGGGGAGGGAAGGCTTTAGGCACAATTATCAGATTCACGTCATATACAAACACAGAAAAAAAATCTGACCAAGTAACACGCACGATGCACATAATGGAAATCACGAAACCCAAACCACTAGTAACCTAGCATAAAGTACGTAAACAAAGTAAGTTACAGGATACAGGAAACACAAACAGAGGCATACAAAGTCCAATTGTAAGTTATTCCGTCATATCACACGCTGTCTGTAATGTCTTTTAGGTCAAATATTCCATTATCGGTTTAACATCATCCCATTGAGTGTTCAGTAAATTATACGGCAACACATACCCTCTCACTCTTCTACAGATGATTAAATAGAACCAAACCAATTAAGTTCTCAAACAGGTATTTATAAAAAAATAAATAAAAAAAAGGTAATTTAAGATTCAGCATGTGTTTCACAAAATAAATTCATATTACCTTAGGCCCAGCAATAATAAGTATAAACATTAACATCAACCATCTCCAAAAGACACACCTGTCAGGTACGTATAGTCAAGAATCACCCTTAAAACGTTAAGCTCACAAACATAGGACAAAGTTAAAGGGACACTCCAGGCACCCAGACCACTTCTGCCCATTGGAGTGGTCTGGGTGCCAACTCCCACTACCCTTAACCCTGCAAGTGTAATTATTGCAGTTTTCATAAACTGCAATATTTACCTTGCAAGGTTAACGCCTCCTATAGTAGCTGTCTACTAGAAAACCACTAGAGGGCACTTCCGTGTTTAATACTAAAGTGTGTTATAGCGTCGCTGGACGTCCTCACGCTATGGGAGGACCTTCAGCGTCGCTGAAATTCCCACAGGAAAGCATTGAAAGCTTTTTTCAATGCTTTCCTATGGGGAGTTCTAATGCACATGCGCGGCATTGCTGTGCACATGCTCAATAGGCAGGGGAGGAGGGTGGGCGGACCCTGAACCAGCGCCGAGGGACATCACAACTGGATACAGGTAAGTCATGGAAGGGATTTTAACCCCTTCAGCAACATGGGATGGGGGGTGGGAGGGCGAGGGGACCTGCAGTGCCGGGAAAACTGCTTGTTTTCCTGGCACTGGAGAGTCCCTTTAACTAGCATTTAGGGACAAGATGCAGTCCATTATATTGTAATCATTATTCCCATGAGACCAACATCCATCCTCAAGTCAGAAGTATTCACCCTTCTGTCCAAGTCATAGTTAGTCTCGCAGTACTTTGCCCAAAGTACAGAGGGCCTCACCTGTCACGTCCACTCAATCTTGCTTTCTTCCACAGAGACCCACGTTCCCATCACACCGTTTCAGTGGCTCAGCCATCGACCAATACATAGGCAGAGCGTCTATCAGCCGCTTGGCAAATTAGCAGGGCCTCACCTTTCCCGAAATAGTTATAGGAAATTCAATAACAATTCACCATAAACATTTTGTCATTTCATTATAGCATGTCACATGTATCTGACCTAGGAGAAGATGTCGCCTCACCCAGCATACCCTCTAGGCCTCGCACCTCAACAACAGCCCCAACATCAGGCGAAAATCAAGAGAGCCCCTGCTCATTAAGGTCAAAGACAATCCCAAAAATTGCAGCAGAACTAAGACGTAGAGGGATTCCATATCCCACCACAGCAAGGAAAGTGGAACTGTATAGAATCATGATGTCAAACCCCGATAACACACAACCAGGAACCAGCTCTCAGGATAATGTAAACGAAACCCTGGCATGAATACAGGCCCCAATGACATCAATCTTGTCATCCATAAGCAATATAAACCAGAGAAGCCCCCGATCCAGCCATTGGGTCCCCAAATATTAATCTTACACCAACGGTAGAACATATTGGAGCACAGGGTAATGTTTCGGTTGCACAAGTCTCACAAAGGCCCATCACACACATTGTCACACCAGCATACTTGGTACCTCCTAACATTAGGAAGGACATTTTAGAAGGGAAAGACATCAATCTAATTTCCTTACTTATAGCATCACAGGACTTGGTGGAAAACAAGACCTACAATTATGGGGACTTGTCTAGTACTAAAAGCAAAAGACCCCTGGTTAAGCAAAACACTGTCCATACCTGAATTTGTTCTAGCTTTCAGGACATAGTATGCACCAATTTTCCCCAACGTAAAGAAGAACTAGACTTGTACATGCACAAGTTGGTAGATCTGGGGCACAGGTACGGTGGATATACCTTTTTCGACTATCACAAGTCATTTTCAGCCAAAGCAGCGGCAGCATTGGCTCAATTCAACATAAGAACAGATTGGAGCCACTTAGATAACGAACTGTTCTGCTGCCACTTTGCTGAGCTAATATCACCATCTTGTGCTATTTGCTCTTCAAACTCCCACTCTACCAACTTGTGCCCAAACTAACCCAGTGTACTGACTACCAGCAAATCTGAACAGAAAGGACTAAGAGACAAACTAAGTAGACCCATAGTCTTCCTAAGGAAGGCACAGATATGTAACAATTTTAACGCAGGCGGCTACAATTTCAGCACCTGCAGATTGTTGCAGGTCTGCTCCATCTGCTACAGAGCTCACGCAAGGACAATGTGCCCAAACTGCCTGTTGACCAAAAATTTTACACACTAGCCTTCTACTTAAACACACACCCATCCAAACATTTAGTGTAATTTCTGATCACGGGTTTCACTGAGAGGTTTCACACAGGGCTGGTAGCACTGCCAACAGGCACTGTAGAATGTAAAAATTTACAATCAGCCACTATTGACCCTACAATATTATGAGTCTTGTCAATTATACCCAACAGGTAACAAGTGGTGCCCTGTACTATTACTTAACAAATTCATGTCATCTCTGACAGATCAACCAAGCAAGCTCCTCTCCTTAACTTACACAGTCACCCACTAACTACCTCCAAGTTCATCAAGTATGTCAGGTTATTATTCATAAAAATTGTGTGCGATCCCGCAGCATTCACTGGCCACTCGTTTTGCATAGGGGCAGCAACCTCAGCTTCTAGCCAAAACATACCAGTACACATCTTTAAAAGACTGAGGCGGTGGAAATCATCGGTATACAACCGTTACATACCACAACCAGAGAAGGAGTTAAGACAGGCATTTAAACAATTGGCTTAATAAGACCTCACTTGTAACATATACATATACATGTATTTGTATACATATTAAAGCATTGCATCGTTCATTCTCTTTTTGCCCTCTTTATTTACAGGCCTAACCTTATGTCGGTTTCGGCACACCACAACCGACTTAGCATTTAATAAATTACAGTTATAAGATATTGCGCCCAAAACATGGTGACACTTCCCCAAAGCCCAAATACCATCCCTTAACACCTGCATGATATGCATCTTCATGCACTCACAGTTACATACATACAGCCACACACAGTTAAATACTTACAGACATAACCATTCATAAATACATACATACAGCCACACACACTCACTACACAAAAAAAAAGTGCTTGAGAGAAGGTGGTCAACAGCAACCAGTTGAATAGTTTTTAATGCTGCTTTCCCCAGCAGCTTATCTGCTGCATGGCACAGTAATATAAGTGGAGAGATATGACTCTAGCTCTACTGTACTGCCCGGATGTGACAAGAATCTCTTTGGCCTCAATGGCAGACTAGAGTGCAGAATTTCCAATATACTACTCTTTGTTTCATGATTCATGTAAACTTCCAGTTAAAACTTACAGAGGATACTGGGCATGGAGAGTTGACCCTGCCTAGAAACCTGAAGTTTGAACAAATAACTAATCTCTGATTATGTAAATTTTAATTTTGAAATCATTTTTGTACTTTTTTCCACGTATGCAACTTCTGGTGTTTATTATTCTTACTAATCAGGAATTCAATCTTGTAATACACATGCAGGTTTCTTGAACAGCTAGAAGAGGTCCCTGTGGGCATATGTAGATATTTTTATAAATTAAGTAATACTCAATTTGATTGGCATGTATATTTTGCTTGCATATACCTGTATGTCCTGTATTTATATATCCCAAGGAAATCTCTATCTTACTGAGCAGTTTCCTGTTTTATTTAGCTGCTTAATTGAATAAAGTAGTGTTCTGTTTAAGAAGAGTGATCTAGAGATAGATCACTAGAGGTAGATATCTATAGATAGTCAGACAGATGCTAATCTTTGTTTTTATATTTAAAATGTAACATGTTAAGGGCAGTAAAT